CACCAACAAGACCCCTGCCACAAAAGACTGGCTGGTGAAGTGTCTCCAATGTCTCGTATGCTACAGGGTACACACAGATGCTCAGACTGCATGTGTGAGGGCTTCTGGGACCCACCGCACACCCTCCGTCTCTAACCATGGCCCTGGAGCACTCTGGGCTGGCTCTGGTTCTGCACATCTCTCCCAGTAACCAGGAGCTTCTTGAGGGTCTGCAACCAGGTTCTCACAGGCCGCTGTCATGAGGAGACACTCAGTGACTGACTACTTATAAATGAATTTCTGTCCAAATCTTTGGCCAAGTTTTCCTACACATGAAGGAAGAACTTCTCCTTCTTTAAACCGTAAGCCAACGCTCTGATCTGCTCAGAGAGCTGGCCCCAAAACACTTTCAGAGATGGATTACGGGAATCCCTGTTCAATATATTCCTGCCGTTTCCTCTGATGGACCGTAGGTTGCACACAGGGCAGGGACAGGCTCTCTCCATAATGAGAACACCAACCAAATAAGCTGGTAGAAAACTGTGGGTCAGGCCATATCGTTCAATGGCTGTCCCAATTTGCTTTCTAGCCTAGAATATTCTCTGCAGGGCAGCTTTTAACAGTGTTGCAATTATACATATAATCGCTTTATTTCAACGCACTCCATTCTAAACTATTTTTAGATACAATCATTTTAAAATAAATACAATTATTACCAGCAGTTTAAAATGAAACAAGCCTGCAGCTAGCATGTAGTATGGCGGTTAAGGCACTGGATTCCTCATGGCTGACTGCGTGGTTCAAGTCCTGGACCCAGCAGCTTGAAAAATACCCTGGGCACATGTGTGTGAATGCCTAAAGTCCTGAGAGGATAATAGAGGAAGCATGAGATCATGAATTTTGTCTTGGACTCATTGACTTAAGGGTCTTTGGCACATCTGGGGGAGATGGCATGTGGGCAGGAGGACGTGTAGTTTGGGGCCCCGGGAGAGGCCTGGGCTGGGAGTCGGCCTTGCAGGGGGCCCACGAGGCTATGGGCATGCTTGTGATTTCCTAGAGAAAGACGACGAGGGCCAAGGCCCTGAGAGAAGGAACTGCAGACAGGCATCCCCCTAAAGGGAGATTTCTCGCTCGATCTCTCAGGCCACCCCACCCCCCAACAGGGTGATTTCTCTTTCTCTCTCTCTTGTGAGTGCATGTGCCCTGCAGCATAAAAAAAAAGAAAAAGCAAGTGGAAAGTCAAGGGGGGGTGGTGGTAGATAAAGAATATAAAATCACTGGGAACCAGCAGTTAGCGTAATGACTCCCATGTAGTCGACCGCGGTTCGTGTCCCGGACCCGGTGGCTTTAAACTCATGCCGGGCGCACGTGCATGCGTGCCCAAGATCCCGAGAGGAGAATGGAGGAGAAGGGATTGAGGCGTGACCATCCCCGCTGGGGGTTGATTTCTCGCTTTCTGTCTCTATGTCTCTGTCTGTCTGTCTGGCGAGCGCACGCGCCCTATAGCAAAAATCTCTCAAAAAAAATATATATAAAATCATTGTAAAGATTAATTTTTTCTTTTTTTCTTTTTGTTTAAATAGAGATTTTTTTGCTACAAGGCATGTGTACTCACCAGAGACACAGAGAGATAGTGAGACATCACCCCCTGGGGAGAATGACCATGCCGCAAGCCCTTCTCCTCTTGGGATTTTGGGCATGCGTGTACACATGCCAGTGTGAATTTCATGACGCCAGGTCCAGGACTTGAACTGTGGTTGGTCATATGGGAGTCCAGTGCCTTAACCACAATGCTACCTACTGGCCCCTCATTTAAATTCTTGAAAAAAAAAAAAAGAAATATGTTGGGAAGGTAAGTGAACTGTAAGAGAACCAACTGACTCCACATTGCACTTAGTCTTGGACTCTACCTTAACAGATTAAACTTCAGGAAACTGACTCAACTTCTGTTTTTCATTCACTTACAATGAATCTTAAACAGTCTGACCTTTCACCTCCCTCACAGAATCTAGCCAAATGTTTAACTAATGGAAGCTAGTCATACCCTTGCTAAGTCTGTACAGACCCTGGGTTACGGACAGACAGGGAAAACACGCCACCAGCCACCTTCCACATACAGCCAAGATCTCAAGAGCTTGAACAGTGCAAAGCCATGGTGTCCTTCCTTCTTCTTTAGATGAAGCTGTTTCTGTTTGGGGATACAGTTAAAAAAGAATCTAGCCCTCCTCGTGGGTCTTAAATGTGTTTCAAAGCCAGATTTGGAAACTTTGCCACTAAAGTCACTGAAGTCAGTTGTAAATGACAGAATCACTCGATTGATAGTTTGTTTTTGCCTTTTTAAAAGAAAGAGAAAGTATAACTTCACAGTTGACTGGGACAACCACTTCTAATCTCCGGGCTGAACACGTAATCTTGCAGACATCTCTTCAGTACAGAGAAGACCACTCGTAGATGAACACATAAAGATGAAAGTCTATATTTAAAGGTTTTAAGAGAAAAGATATCCTATCTGCCTCAGGCCTCTAACTTAAAGTTAAATAATTCCTAATGGAGAATATTCTTCTCCAAATCTTTCAGTCTCCTTTTTTAAGTTTACTCACTCTTCGAAGACACATCTACACAGCAATTTCTGGAAGTAGAAAACAATCAGACCATAGCATCAATAAAAATATGTTTGACTTGGACACCTGCAGAAACATATACGAATTACTAAAACCGCATTACCTCCAGGGAATAGAACTGATTGGCTTGGGAGTGGGAGGGGCCTTTTCATCATCCTTTGAGACATTTAGAGGTTTTTTTTGAGAGTTTTTTTTTTTTGTTGTTGTTGTTGTTTTGCTATAGGGCACGTGCGCTCGCCAGACAGACAGAGAGAGACAGAGAGACAGAAAGCAGGAAATCACCCCCCAGGGGGGATGGTCACGCCGCAATCCCTTCTCCTCCATTCTCCTCTTGGGATCTTGGGCACACACGCACATGCGCCCGGTGTGAGCTTTAAACCACTGGGTCTGGGATGCGAACTGTGGTCGACTACGTGGGAGTCCAGCGACATAGCCATTACGCTAACTGCTGGTCCTGGGACATTTAGGATTTTTAAAACACAGGTTAATTTTATAAGAGAGAGACAGAGAAAGGCAAGTACCCTGGACAACCCCTGACAGAGTCCCAGGCCACGTCCTTACTCTAGCGTCTCTCAGCCAGCCAGGGTCATGGACAGGTGCCAGGTGTATGCAGGTAAACCGGGGAACCAGCCCCATCTTTCATCCGGCCTTGTGGGGAGCCAGAGCATGTCACTCAAAACAAACTTCTTGGGCATATTTCTGAGACAACTACTCAAGAGAACCTGTAGACACACAAATCAACTTGCTAATTTTCATGAAGGTAATTTATCAGACTTTCCTGATGCTACCCCCTCACCTCTCCTAGAATGAGAAGAGCAGAGGCCTGACACCGGCCCCAGGAAGACAAGGCTTTCTGCATTCCCTACATCAGCTTTCATGGCCAAACCTGCCCCATCCTGCGGGGTACAAAACCTGCAGTCATTTGGGCTTTCCTGGAGTTGTACTTTGTGTGGTTCCCGATCGTAGTGTATACGTTAAAATAAGCCTGTGCCTCCGGTCTCGTTCACCTGCCTGTTTGTGGGGGATTTCTCAGCAAATCTCAGAGGATGACTCCTCTGACCCTACAGCCTCCAGTACAGCAGAGTGTTAAGGTACTTCTGTGCCTTCCTCATTGTGGCTAGGCCTGAGACATTCAGAGATCTGTGCTGTTAAAAATACACTGAAATACACTTTGAGGGCCAACAGCTGGCATAGTGGTGGTTAAGGCACTGGACTCCCATGTGGCCAACGGCAGTTCAAGTCCTGGACCTGGCAGCTTGAAACTCATGTCAGGCGTGTGTGCGTGTGTGGCCAAAACCCTGAGAGGAAAATGGAGAATACCCCTGGGGATGATTTCTCACTTTCTGTCTGTCTCACATATATGTCCTGTAGCAAAAGAAGAAGAAGGAGGAGGAAGAGGAGGAGGAGGAGAAGGAGGAGGA